AGAGGTGGGGTGGGGTGGGGTGGGGTGGGGGGAGGGGAGGGCCGGTGTTAGTTTAGTGAAAATATCATAATCACAGAGTATTTGGCAAATTTTAATATTGAATTAGAAATGGAGCTGTGGAAGCCCCTCTTAAAGACTGGTATTTATATTTTCTCAACGAATTCCACTGGGAAGTGACCCCTTTTGCCATTTAATTCCCCATAGTACCACTGGTCATCCACCTATCGGGCGAGAGAAAAGGAGGGAGAGAGGAAAGCGATATGAACATTGCCATCGCATGCAGACAAATCAAATAAACATTTAATTTGAACATTACCTGTTCTATTATCGTTGGCTCATCGCCTTTATGAAGGCTCAAATCATCATCTGCTTCAGCCGTGAAATCGTAAAGTGCCCTGCATTTACAAGTCTCAACAGTTCCTTTATGATCAGCTAATTAAGAGGGGGAGGGGAAAGATCATTTATTATAAAAGTTGTAGTTGTTGATCAGCTCAAAACAAATACAATTATGTTCAAACGAGTAAGCAATTGCACAGTTAAGGGCAAAGTGGGTATATTGTGATTCAATCTCTCTCTCTCTCTCTCTATGATTTTCCACAATTATTTCACGTTTTTTTGCATTTTATCCTGAAATTGGTGCTTCATAGGTGTTTAGATTTAGGTTCAAGTGCTTGGCATCGGACAGTAAAACCCAAATATCCTAAAGACAAACTATGACAAAAGGAAGACAACTTACGGTCTTCACCTTTCACCCTTCCAGACTATTTGAAAAACAAAATGTTTTCTTTTTTGATACTCGGCGTCCTTTTACTCAGACAAAGCCAATGTGATCGATCATTCCAATCACAGGATGTGCACCGACAGGCATCGGATCTGTGTTTTTGCTGACAGCAGATCTGTCTGTTATTAGCTTAATCGACTAGAATATTTACAGACCTCGCATTTGTAACAAATTCGAGAATGTATGTCATTTTTTGCTATTGAATTACTGTGCCTCTCACCACGTCAGCTTTTACTACATTTCAGTAACCATGATTTCGAGGTAACTTGAAGCTAACAACATTCGTTTGGCATTTGAGTGTAAACGACGTCATTACCACTGACGATTGACTGCCAAATCAATACTCTGCATAGAAAATAATTCAACCGTTATGTTTAGATTTCGAGTAGCTAATTCAGATTAGAGTCTAATGCACTGCAAATACACTGCACATATTGGTGCATGATTATTGACTTTTATTCAAAATTTCATCAATAAACCACTATGTTATTGTTTAATTTCGAAATAGAATGTTTGTGGAATTCATTTTGACTGTCTTATTAGGTAACTAGCTGTTAGTTTTAGAATGTTATTCGTGGAGAGGCGAGTTTCTTTCCTCAGACATAGAATGATCAGCTGAAAATGGGTGTGGGGTGGGGTTAAATCTACTTATATAATAGCGCAATGAATGCAAGCAAATAGAATGGCAACGTACCCGCTGAATAATTGTATTCCTTTAGGGTTGTTGTGTAACCTAAGCCCTCGCCATTCGACTTCGGTGCGCTGTATGGGGTGTTCTCATTACTATAGGCACTGTCGCTCGATCGTTCTTTTCTACGTAATAATAGGCTGGTTTAGACTTTCTCTGCTTAGAAATTAGGAGAGGGGAGTCTTTTGCTAAAGTATTAATCTATAAGGGCGGTTGAAAAGTTGTTTCTGATCTTCTCACAGTACAATCGATATTCAAGTCGTAACCATCCATCCACCTGCAAATGAGATCAGCAAACTTGTTTGACCAAGCATAAGACCCATGAGAGGGTCAAGAAAAGGTAGGCAATGAGTTCTGGATATCACGAATCTTACTTTGATTAAATGTTAAATATAGTAAGTTATCGATTTATCCTCAAAGATTTCACCCATTGCGCAATGCTATGTCATCACAAAATATAAGCCTCACGATTAAACCCTATGGCTCCTGGACGACTTCGTACCCATGACTACCGAAGTATGTGAACCAGTGGATAGATTGCTATAGTTAGCAGAGCTGCGCTTTGCTTAAGTGCGATAGTCTTACCTCCACATGGTGTACCTTGGCAAATGTATACTCATATGGCAGTTGACTACTGAGTTCAAACTGTCATGGCCCGACCGCAAGTCATATTCGAGCCCTATCACAGTACTCATCTTACCCTTTCTCTACCTTTGTGTCTGTCTGTCTGTCTGTTTCTCCTACATCTGTGAATCACTCTACCTCTCCCCCTCTCCAATTCGTGACTTTGATATTCTGATTTTTTCTCACTTTAATGTTCCTCCCTTCTGTGAAGCTCGAAGTCAGCTAAAGGGCTAATGATAACTATCAAAACGCCGGCGAAGTCAGCTAAATGGCTAATGATAACTATCAAAACGCCTCCGCTAATGATAACTATCAAAACGCCTGTCATTTGAAATAAACAAATAAATAAACTCTCTTCCTCTCTCCAAATATTTAAATTTTCAAAAAATTCAAAATGATATGGATGGATTATAAAGTTTGGAAGGTAATTGTTTGAGTAGAAAGGAGGTTAAGTCTACGATAGGTTGTAAATAATTCTATTTCAAACAAAATCTTATTTTATGAATGTTCTATTATGCTCTTTTCATAAAAAAGAAATTAGCGATTTGATTTCCAAATAATGAATAACTACTCATTAGTTCTGTCGATCACTCACGCAACAATTCTGAGCGCACTTACAAAAGAACTAACAAAAGACTTCATTGAAAGTTGGCTCACAAGTCCACTTATAATTTGCCACACTAGGCTACTACTCGAGAGAAATTGTAAAAATATGCAAATTTCCACTGACGACACACATGCGCGCAATCATAATAAAATAAATCGATTGCACACTTAAACAAACACTTTATATTTGTAACATAGTATGCCAATGCGTTTTTTGGGGAATTGTTTAATTAATTTGTATATTCAAAGTAAGTAAGCAAAATTGTTTTTAAACTGTGTAACTAATTACCAATTACAGGACTGTTCTCCATAGAGAAAAAAGTGCTCTATGCATTAATTATTTACAATCGGATTGTATGTGATTTCGATTTATAAAACTTAGCCTAGTTGTGTTAAGAGTTTTCGCATCTCTATCAACCTAAATAATTAGTAAGTGACAAACTCAAGGCCCCCATTCATTGTGGTAGTTAAATGCAAATCTTATACTCTGAGATTTCTTAACGAAGAAGGTAGTAAAGTCCCTTGGTTTCAGGATTTCGACCGTCCAATTAGTTTGAGAAAGCTCAGTTGGGCATAATGTTATTAAAGTTCTCCGAAAATCAAAATAAAATCAATCATAAATCAGAATAACAGTAAATGCTGAGAGAAATAGGCTCATTTTTACATGATACTCACATTGTTCGAAGGTTTGCAACTAATTGGCTAAAGGAATCTGCCGCGTTTTTGTAAAAATCCTGTTGAATTTGGGCTGCCTGGATAAACATATTGATTCGGTTCGGCTACAATTAAACATAAGAGGCATAAGAGACGAAATAATAATTTTGACAATAAAAATAAACTTTTTAAAATGACAATACCTCGTCGCGTTCAAATGTACTGATGGCCCTTTGAAGGTTCTCTTTCGCCCGAGTAAGGTTACTATTAGCCCTGCTTAGTTTGTCTACTGCCGCTTGATCTTGAGCTGAAAAAGGAAAACTAAAAGTTATTATTACATACACTGTGAGCTTTTACAAAAAAAATTTTTAACTAAAAGAAATATTCTTTTTACAGATTTAAATTGTTGTCCTTGAGGGAATATTTACGCAGTTTACGCTCTTAGTGAGAGAGGAATTAAAATTACCAGTCAATATTTCCGGCGCAAGAATTTCACAATACCAATACTATTCATTGCACGACTAAAAAGTTAATTTTTGGTTATTTAAACGACATGATTTCTTTATTCAGTTAATAAAAAAAATAGATTACTAATTTTAAAGATCCGGGAAGTACAAGATGGAAAAAAAAGCAACTTCATTGTCCTGAGGTCAATCGTGGGAACGATCACAAGTGAACTTGACTGTACAAAATAGTGCACACAGACTATTGAATAAATGCAGGAAATTCCATTTTGTTTAAATCTTAATATAGTTTTCAAACCCATATACGATTGTAGATTAAACGGAAATCTCTGACTTTCCAAAATGACTTACGATTCTTTTCTGTACCTTTTCGAGCTGAATTAACTTCACTTTCTGCTTCAGAAGCGTCTTTTTTAAGTTTCTAAAAGTAAATAATATTTTTATTTCAATTTTTTAGAATATATTAAAAGCTCGTTTTTGTTCTAAGTAAATGAAAGCGAATAATAAAATATGGTGAAATTTTTTGTCAGATTTTAGTTGAATGAAATAAGTAGAGCTGAAAATTGAGTTTTGTGTGAGGACTCAACGATTTAGACTTACAGAAATATAGTTTAAATCCTTTAGAACGCTATTTTGTATAGGAGTGAAAAGTTCCGTTTGAAGGTGGCTATCACGAGCGGATTTAAGGCCTATTATTTGTTCATAGGTACTTGACATGTCCTGAAGAGCTTGATCTAAATGAAATACAGTAGAATTTTAAGGCATTGTTAGCTGCATAAAGATAATTGCTCAAAATATTTGAGCATACGGAAATTTCCAGTAATGTATTCGTTGTGCTTTTTAATAAAAACAACAAAGCCCTTCTCTTCATAAACGGTAGAATTCGATTTTCCATTTTTGGATGATGATGATGATGTGGGTTTAAATCTTCGATTAGGTTGCAAGATGCCATTCATTGCCTTTTGGTAATGCGTATATAATTTTTTAATCTCAGATATTTCCTAAAATGGTAAAAATTATTTATGTTAGTGAAGGAAACTCTAATATGAATAAATTTTCAATTCCAGGTTTCTTTCTACATTTTCTTTATTTGTTCCGCCAATGGAGCTTTTCGATTTTCCACCCTTGATTTTAAAAAACGAGTTTTAACTATTTTATCTGAGTGAATAAAATTGAATTTGTTATAAATCTATCAAATTTGACTCACAAAATGAAATTTTGACTTAAGTTTGTCCATTACTGCGTTAGAATGCAATCTAACAAAACGCCAAGGCTAGATTTAGAATAGTATGAGAATGTTAGTAAGTACAAACAATTAAATGCCAAAGTATATTTTTAAAATCCTTATTGACTATTTCTTATTTATTTTTTAAACAATTAAATAATCCATTTAAATTAAGTTTAGTTGGTTAATAGGCTATTTTTATATGTTATCCATTTTTCGTACCCAATTATAATGCTTTCCCAATTTAACAATATGTGAAAAAAGATGCTAAAAACAGTACTGATCCGGTTTGTCTGTCTTTTTATGAAGGTATAAATAACAGTATATGCCTCTGAAAATCAGTAGAAATATGTTTGTTTGATCTTCAAAATTGATAACTCAAGCCCTTTTCCTAGTTCAAGTATCTTCCGATTTGTCTTTTTCCTTTTTTCGATCTTCATAAGAAAAATTCGATGGGCAATACTTCATAGAATTTTGTACTATGCATCTTCTTGACTGATAGAAATTTAAATATGTTGACCTACATAGAAGAATAAGTTAAGTCACAACCAAATCTGGACCTGTACAGATGGCCTTGCTAAGCCACCTAAATATATAGAAAAGGTATTTTTATATACCACTCATTTACTCGTTAGAGGTCATTCATGCCTCGTCTTTGATTCCTCAGTGATACGATTGGCATCTCTTCAATGACTTATAGTCAAGCAAGCAAACATAGCAATGATAACTGTGAATATTGAATTCGATATATCAACGGCGGTTAAGCAGTTTTTATTGTCCAATGCTGATTAATAACTACTTGTCGTAGTATGGAATGAAAATTTTCCATTTTGAATTAACAATCCACCGATGCCTTTTCAACATACATCCCTTTCAAAAGATTCCTTGATATTCAAATGTTCAAACCACACTTTAATATATATATATATATATATATATATATATATATACGCATATATAATTTTCTTTAAAAATGTAAGTTAACACGAATGTAATATGGCCAAGTGATTTGATAAAATAATAAACTCTCCATCCTTTCATTTTGCGGAATTATTTTAAATTTAGTGAATACCACCAGTGCTTTTTCATGAATCAATATTCAACCTTTGTTAACTTAGTCACACATTGATGAAGCCTTTTCTCATTGCCAGTACAGAATTTGTTGATAAGTAAATAAATGATCACTGCATTTGAAGTGCCACAAAAGTTTATTTATTTCATTTATTTGCTCTTTATGAAGTAAATATCTTAAATCACCATCGAATTCGTTTGTAATTAAATTTTACCGATGGTGATTTATATGCTTTAGATCGAAATAAAATATATTGGAATTTCTTTTTCGTCATTTTTATAAATTTGTAAATCAATCGAATAATGCTGACTTTTGATTGCATCCTTTTCTATGAGATCCTATCGCATTATGTCGGCTAATTAATCTTTGACATTATCTGATATATATTTAATAAACTATACATGGACCATATCCTATTTTACTTTTCGTGCCGAATAAAAATCCGAATGAGTAAGTTATTATGCTTAAACTCTGAAGGAAATCCCAGCCTGGATGAAGTTGAACAGCTTATAATTAGTTAAATTTGGAGAGTGCGATAGACTTACCTCCACGTGGTGCACCCTGGCCAACGTATCCTTAAACGACAAAAAAATTCTATAAACAGGAAATTGACTTCTGGCTTCTAACTACCATGAACCCACGCTATGTTATATTTGACCACATCCACAGTACTTATCTTACCTTTTCTCTTCTTTTGTCTGTCTAACTCTTTTACAACGCTTGAATATTTCCCACTTTGACGTTCCGCCTACTGTGACGTTCAAAGTCAGTTAATGGGCTAATAAAAATTATCGAAATGCCTGCTATTTTCAATAAATAAATAGTCAAATACTCCTCCATATTTTTCCTCAAAGTTTTTTTGATGCGTGAAGGAATAACACAGAAAACTCCCAAAATCTTTCATGAATATAAAATTAGTTGGGCTCGTTACATATTACATTTGAAAATATTTAAGCATTTAAAAAAGCGAATAAACAGAGTCTATTGATGGAAACATTCTTTCGTTGTCTTTGAATATAAAATGGCTTAGATATATATTTGCTACGCGAGGACTAAATTTAAGAATTTTGCTATCCTATCAGTCTCATTATTATGTGCCAATGAAATTTTACTTTTTTAGAAATAAATTCGATTTAAAAATGAAACCGGGAAAACGATATTGAATGAAAAATATGAACGCAAGGAATGTTTTAAGTCAAACCGAAAAATTTGAATACTGAATATAAAAAATTAGCAATATTCATTCTAGTGTTAAATTTTATTAATAATTTTATTTATCAAATCAAAATAAATTAAATCATATGATAAAATGTATCTGCTATATTTATTTTATTAACATTTTATTGCAGTAATGTGGAAAAGTTGTTCATACACCGCCGGTGTCTTTGAGTTTATAACCGTACTAGGTTAAAATGCAGGTTTCGGATTATGGTACGCCGAAATGTCTCCGCCAAAGTCCTTCTAGGAACACTAGACCTTCAGAGCCCATGAGTCCCGAATCCACTCAAGTTCAAATGGTGAATTCTTCCAATCGTCAATTCGTACCCGGTTTTCTAATGGGTGATTTACGCTCATCCCCACAAAATGGATATGTGTCTCCACTATTAAAATCTCCCAACCAGACATCAACTATTAATCATCCGACGAAAACCGTTCAGGTTTGAGATATGTTTGTCATTGTTTTAATAGTTTAATAGGCTCGATTGTCAGGGATTAAATCTCCGACTTTTGAGCGGAGCGGTAGAAGACATGCTTCTCCACCTACACAGAGCCTCTGGTCTTCTGCCAATCAAAGAAAGAATTTCGAAGTAGAAAATATGGCATCAGAGAGCGGAGGTTCTGTCCAACACAACCTGAATATTAGTAACAACTTTCTTACTCCAAGTCGTCCAGATGTCGCAAGTCTAAAATACTCATCTCCATTTCAATCTCCTATCCAAATGAATTCTTTGGATGTTTCTCGGAGAGATGGGTATGCAAGCTCACTTCCCATTTTTTGATGTTTTGCAGACGGAAATTTTATATGATCGTTTTCTAGTGATGATGAAACTGCTACTTGGGTGACTGTCTTTGGGTATGACCAAGCACAAGCAAATTCTGTTCTTCAGCACTTCTCGCATATTGGAACCATCGAAAAATATGTTGTAAGTTATTGCCACAATCTCTGATCATCAACCATTTGGCTTGGGGTTATCATTTCTATTATTTCCAAGATTACAAACGGTGGGAATTGGATGAATATCAAATACGCTAATAAAATTCAAGCTCGTTGTGCTCTTAATCGTAATGGTCGGGTTCTTGATGGAAAAATTATGATTGGTGTTCGAAAGTGTACAGATTTGGTGAGTCTTGGCTGATTTTAATAGAATTTTATCTATTCGAGTCGAATCTAGTTGTCGAATATTCGTTTCAGAGTGCTCTAAACAGCGTTGATGCCGTTTCTACAGTCAATCAAGACATAATGACCGATAGAAGCGATTCAAGTGATTCTCGAGAGTCTCTTATTAGTGGTAACAAAAATGGGGTCTTCTCTAAACCTTCAGAGCCTATTTTGCCAGCCCCAAAGTTAGGGTCTCCCTTAGTAAGAGGGGGTGTGCGGAATGGAGTTGTCAAGATGGAATCTTCTGAAGGCTTTAATCAGAGTTTCTGTGGTCGCGGGGATAGTGTTAGTGGTCCTATTAGAAACGGTTCGAGTGGATTATCTCGTCACAGCTCTATGCGACCATTGGCTGCTCCATATCAACCACCACCAAGGTGTCAAGTCACCAGAGCCAATCAGTTCCAGACGTTCAAGGTGGGTGAATTTTCCAGTATCTTTCCCAGTCTTATCTCTTTTTTTCGACATAGGCAATAATTAAACCAAATTTCGAATCAAAGTGTCTTTTGTTATTATTCTAGGACTCATCAAGTAAAACTGTAAAAGTGCTAGACTCTTGTTTTTACAACTGTGCTATACTTTAAAGGACTTGCTTACTTTTTTTCTCCGTTTTATTTCAGAGTGGTAATTCAAAGTCTTCGGGCCTTCTGTCAAAAGCGTTGGATTATGTTTTTGGGTGGAATTAAAATGATGTCAGTAAGCTTTACATATTCATATACCTTGTAAACTGATACACTGTTCATATTTTATTGGCTATTTTGTGCATTTTACGATGTAAAGCCTCTTATTTTACCTTGAAAGTGTTTTTTTCTGTGTTTATGAAGGAAAGTGGATTTCTTTGTATCTGTTGAATGCTCGCGCATCTCGCACTGCCAGCGTTGAAATGTCTTCGACGCAGACCAACTCTTGTCTAGTGGGAAACCCCAATTAGCTTTAGGTTAATTTGTTCGATTTTCAGCTGTTGGCTTGAATCATAATTATTGGGAATCATGAAAGCGGATCATAAGTAAGTTTGTTTGATCGTCGCAGACATCACCTAATATATGTCAGTATGGCTGCGAAGTTTCAAATATTGCATCTAACGAATTGGGAGCGATATTTGACTTATCAAGAATTTAAGACATTTCCCAGATGAGAGTTGTACCTCCAGCAAAGGGGGAGCTTTGTGCCTTCCAGCCTTAGTTTTGCAGAACGTGCGGGTGGTATGCGGTTGCGATTACATTTACCCCTATGTTGTGACTAAGCAATGACTTTTGCATTTTACAACAGCATTCAATTGGGGATATGGTGTCTATGCCGCTGAAGTAGTAATGAAATTGCGTTTGGTGCTGGTTTACTTTCGATAATTAATATGCTGTGGGATTGGTATTAAAAAATGATGTTTAATTTCAAGAGAGAGTTGGCACTTCTCAATAGGGTGGGAAGTAAACCTTCCCAAATAGGAGATGTGAACAAGGTGAGACGATGGGACGTCAGTAAAAACTTTCATCGTAGTCTAATATTAAAACAACTGCAGAATTTGGCTCAGATGATATATAATACTCACAGTGATATTCAAACTCAGTTTCTAATCAAATGTCAAACACATTGAAACAGCAATGGGAGCATGATTGGCTTTCGTGTGCTATCAAGTCATAATTTTTTCAATATGCCATGTGATCTACGTACAAAGAGCTCTCTTAGGCTTCTACTGCAGTTTTATATTGTGTTCTCTATAATCCTTGCATCCATCATTAAAAAAATAGAGCACAGATGCACTATTATGGTACTTAGTTGGCTAGATGGAAGGTTATTCCTGTAATTTCATAAGAAAATCATTTAAATCAGGCACCAATTCACTCAAAATTGGGGTTAGTTTAATAAATTTAAACGAGATCAGATGAATGTTTCTAAATTGGCATATATCACTGTATATCATCATCGCTTTGCTCTAAGTCATCCGTCCAAGAAGCGAAATATAGTAAATGAAACTTTGCAAAGAACAAAATAGCTACGAAGATATCTGTGACGCCATACTAAATTATTTATAAATGTTAAAATATCATTCATTTGATGTCATACATACCAAATAGTTTAAGTTTCTGAGCGGTAGTTGACTCCTATGTTGATATCTACGCTGGAATATGTACGAACAGCTGGATCACCTCAAGATAAGTATCGTTATTTATTAACTCCAAAAGCTAATCAACGTATGCTGATAGCATTAGATTTTTAAGCACTTGATTGAAGGAACAAATTTTGATGCATGGCTGCTAAGGTGAAAACAGGCTGAATAAAATTTTTAGTAAGGAGCGGTGAAATGTTAAATTCAATTCTATAATGAAGAATTTTGACTAAATTAATAGATCGTGATATATGTTTTTAAGATGGGACATTTATTAGAAAAATCAGCATAAAATTCTCGAAGAATAAATTGGTTATTCGTTAATCATTAGGAGATTACCATTATTCGGTTATTATTTGTCACATAAAAAGCTTTATTTACGAAACGTTGGCTGAATCCTAAAAATATCTACCTCTGACTTTCATTCCGCATTTTAAAAAGTCAAAATTTACATAGTTCAGAATTTTTCTTTCTTAGAATGATGCACTTAGGTGGTTATAAAAGTCCTTGAATTGACGCGACCAATTAATATTCACCAAACTACAAGTGCAAGATATGGAGAATTCTGAATCATTTGCTTTGAAGATTGATTTTCTTATCCCAGAGTTATTTAAAGATAATAAGCAGACAAACCCAGAGAGACCAATTCGTCGTTACAGAAGACTTTCTAATGTAGTCAACAGTACTATTCGAGCTATACGCCAACAGAGTGAAGAAAACAGAAAGCAAAGTCAACAAATACACCTTGAAATAGAAACCAGAAATCGAGTTAAAACTCTATTAGCATCGGCTAAGAATGGATCATTTGGAACTGATGAACCAGTCCTTTCGCAAAAGAAATCTAAAAAATTGGAAAATTTGTCCAAAGAATTGTTTGATACGGAGAAACGATATCTAGAATCATTGCGTATTTTGAAGGAGGCTAGCGACAGAGTTCAAACTATTGAATCAGATCACAAAGATGCACTTCGAGATGTGTTCAAAGAAATTCCATCTCTGCATATGCTCCATGGTATTATCGATTCGCGGTTCTATAAAACTCCTGATAAAGAACCAAACCTTGCATGGTTCATTCAGATTTTTACCTCGGCGGAAATATCCCCATTTATGAACATTTATAGAACCTTTCTTTCTCGGGTCGGAGTAAAATATGAAACACTGCAATATATTTATGAAAAGGATAAATTATTTCAACAATTCTGCCAATCTTTAGTGGTACGCATTTTAGACTTGCAAATAATTTTCGTTCATGTAGCTGACAAGTCAGTTTTCTGAACAACATACGCAAAGTATCCCAGGGATGTATATTGGCATCCAGAGTCGTCTGATGCGTTACCAGTTGCTGCTTCAAAGTAATTTATTGTTTTATTCAATAATTATTTATTTAGAGATATCGGATCTTTTGCTTGATGAAATTAATAAAGAGCGTTGTGATTGTAGGTTCCCGTTTTGCTTTATGCATATTTTCAACAAATAGGCGCCTTGAAAATAACCATCAACGTACTCAAATCATCGGAGGAGGAAGTTTCGAAAAATGTAAGATTTTATTAACTTTTTATTAAATTTGATAGGAAATGATAAGCAAAGCCATTCTAATAAACTCTAAACTTGAAGGACGCAAGAATAAGAGCGACAAACTCTCTCTTTTTATACGATCTGGGCCATGTCTTAAGATTCCCCGCCGATCTGTCAATCACAAACCCCTAAACCGGCATCTTTTTCTCGTAATTTTGATTGTTGAAGGCATTAAAGTCTTATTTTATCTTATTTTTCTCTTAAAATTTATTTATTGTTTTTTGCAGTTTTCCGACTATCTCATATTGACAGATCCAGAAGTTCTTGCTACTAGTCACTACATGGTCAAATCTGAATTGACAATTGTCAGCATGATTGTAAAGCATTAAAATATTGATCTAATTCTTAATATAGCTCTTCTTATTAAAATTTTCCACTAATTGAGTAATTATATATCTTTTAAGTTGGAGGAA